CCGATTGGGTCGAGACGCCAGACGTCTGGGACGGCAGCAGCGGGACGACGCTGTGCTCGCGGGCCTCGGCGTGCCCGCGGCCGCCAGCGGCGCGCCGGCCGAGGCCTCGCCGCCGCGGCCAGCGCTGGCCGGGCAGGGCGCCTCCGCGGCGGCGGCGGCCGGGGGGGCGACGTCCGCCGCCGATGACGCCGCGCTGCGGGGCCTGTTCGGGCAGCAGCAGCAGAAAGAAGCACAGAGAGCCTGAGGAGAAGGGAGGGGGAGGGAGGAGGAGAGGGAGGAGGAGGAGGGAGGAGGAGGAGGAGGGAGGAGGAGGAGGAGGGAGGAGGAGACGGGGGAGGAGGATCAGGACCAGTGTAAACCCAAGAGTCATCAATGATGTTTGAATTAACCCTCCCTCCAAGCTCCCTCTTCATAAGCCCCTGCAGCGGTTCATTTCTATTGAGGGAACTGCCTCGTTGGAAGACAACCGTTTGAAGACCTTGAAGCATGCCAAAACATTGTTCTCGGGATTTCCACGCCACGTATCAACCTGACTACTGCGTCCTGACGGTCTGGAATCGTGCCGGAACCCCATTTTGGGGACTTCAACACCGCGAATCAACATACATAATGCACCCCTAAGATTTCGAATCCTTCCAAAACACAATCTGTGGTATTTGGATCATGAGGGTCCGTGAAGCTCTTGCAAATATTTAAAACGAATTTGCGCGGCGCTACAACAAGAACAACATTTTGAAAGGAGCCGCCCTCAATCCGTGAAACTTTTGCAATGTTTCAAAACGAATGTGCGCGGCGCTAGGGCGAGAGCCACATTTTGAAAACGGCCCGCCCTCAACCCGTGAAACTCTTGCAAAGGTTTAAAACAAATGTGCGCAGCGTTAAGGCGAGAGCCACATGTTGAAAGCGACCCGCCTTCAATCCGTGAAGCCATTTAAAATGTTGAAGAAGAATGTGCGCGGCGCTAAGGCGAGAGCCACATTTTGAAAACGGCCCGCCCTCAATCCGTGAAACTTTTACAAACAAAAAAATATGCGCGGCGCTAAGGCGAGAGCCACATTCTGAAAACGACCCGCCCTCCATTTGTGAAACTGCTGCCGTTGCTAAGCTTCAGAATTATAATTGGTGAGGAAGAAGTCTCAGGCGAAACGCCCAGCCCGCCCTAAAAACTGGCCTCGGGGTGCGACAGGGAGAAGTAATGTATAAGGAAAAGGAAAGGAGGAGGCCAGAGCCATTTTGGCTCAAGCCGGTAGTGCTTCGGCACGACACCTGAACATTATTGGCATTGGGGCAGCCGCGGCCCCCGAAATCTTGTGTCACTTGGCTGCCTGGTCAGACGAAGCGTTTCGGCATCTTGCGAGCTCTTGGTGGAGCACGTCTCTTTGCACGTCTCGCATTGCCAGTCGCCGTGAGTTGATGGCACCGTGGCATCAGCATGCATCTCGGCACCCCCTGTCGGCCCGGGTGGGAGCAGCGCCACGGACATGCGGACTGTGAGGCGCCGGCGGCAATTATGCCACGAAGATGCAGTGCAGGGCGTGCCTCGCGCCTGCGCCTCAGCACATGCAGTCCGCCGTCGCCCGTGCGTCCAAGTCAGCGGCGCCCGCCCGCGTCCCGCGGCAGCCTACTGGGAAGGGCACCGAGGGCAAGAGCGCGGGCCCCGCTGCTCGCCGGCCTGCTGGCGGCGCTTGGGGTTGCTGCGGGTTCTGGTGTCGATACGCTCAAACGGCCGTCGAAACAGCAGCAGCAGCAGCGGCGGGGACGGCACCAGTGCTCAGATCGCCGCCCTCGACACATCCAGAGTCTCTCTGGCGTCCCTCGGCGACCCCAGCCTCCACGAGGTCCAGGAGCGGAAGCAGCACCCGGACCTGGTCGCTGAGCGCCGCGTGGGCGAATTTCTCTACCCTCAGCTGCAGCAGCTCCAGGGCAAGATGTCCGCCGTGGAGAAGAGTCTGGCCCGTCAACGAGACGAAGTTGTACCAGACTTGGCGCGGCGGCTGGAGCAAGCCCGCCAGCAACAGGAGTCCTGGGCCCAGGAGCTGGGCGCCCCTCAGCAGGAGAAGGCCGCCCTTGCCAAGCGCCTGGGCGAGCAGCAGCAGCCCCGGCCTGCAGGCACCTTTGAAACAGCAGGCGGACCCCATTGTGGGCCCACGGTGGTGGCGCAGCTTGTCAACGGCCTGGAGAAGTTGGTGGGCACCGAGGGCGACGGCGACGCGACCATGGAGGGCGGCTCCGCCGAGCAGCTGCCCGCGCCCATCGCCGCAGCGCCCAAGGGGCTCCTCAAGCTGGTCAGGGGTGTCGGTCCCCCAGGCAGTCGCCGTTGGGGCCTCCGCGCCCGCAAAGCCTGCTGCCGCCGCTGGCTCCACCGCTGCTGCGGGGGCTGGAGGCGCGCCAGGTGCTGCCACTGGCGACGCGCCTGCGAACGAAGAAGCTGTGCCTGCACCACGTGACTCGGAAGATGCCAAGCGCAAGCGCGACGAGCTCATCGAACAGTTCGTGGCTGACCTACCCGGGGAGGAAAGGTCGGCGAACCGCATTGCGATGGGTTCCTTCTACGGCAAGCACAGCTGGGTGGCGCTGCCCAGGCAGTCGGGCGCTTGACAGAGGACGGTGGCGGTGGCAGGAGCCCAGGACTCCGCAGGCCCCGTGGGTCTCGCCATGTGATCGCCGTGCGTTTCCACGCCAACCTCGTCTTGCAATCGTCTTGAGGAGGTTTTCTTGGCATCGCTCGGGCGTGTGCATTTTTACTTCGGCGAGGACCATCGAGGAGCATCCTCGATCATTTGGCGAAAAAACCTCGCAAGAAATCAAACAATGCACGGGGAATGGACGTCCGAGCGACGGCAAGGTTTTGGATGAGGAGATTTCTTCCCTCACCGAGGTTGGCGGCGTGCCCGTCATCTCGGCGCAGGAGGAGGCCAAGCCCGAGAAGTGACTAAACGTGTCCGCGGCGGCCCAGGGGCACCGCGGCTGCCGCGTGGTGGGAGCCTCTGCTGTGCACACGTATGAGGGGGGGGGCCATTCAGCAGGCGTGGCCTCGGTCACCCCATCGTGTCTTTCCCTGGGCAAGGCCCTTGGGCAACAGGCCTGGGAAATGTATCGCCCGTGGGCGCGCATGGGCGCTTGTGTCTGGGGTTCACCGAGGTGAGAGGCATCGGATGGGTGGTTTTCTTTCCAGCTTACTTTTTCACAGGAAGAGGAAGAAGAGTTTGAGGAGGAGAAGGAGGCGGAGGAGGAGGAGGAAAAGCAGGGGGAGGCGGAGGCGGAGTAGGTCTGGGTCTTTGCTCCCTTGCCGATTCTCGCCGATCGCCCCCCACGCCAGGCCGGATGTGCCCGGGCGCGGGGCCGCCGGGGCGGCCTCGGTGCCCGCATCTCCAGAGGAGCGGGCCCCGCGTTGCCAAGGCGATTGGCGAAGTGCGTTGTCGAGGGTCGCGTCCCCTCCTCTTCGTCCTCCTCCTTCCCCTTCGCCTCCTCCTCCTCCTCCTCCTCCTCCTCCTCCTCCTCCTGCTCCTCCTCCTCCTCCTCCCCTCTCCGCCTCCTCCCTAGGCCTGGTCCCCACGTTCCCCTCCCCACCCCCTCTTTCAAACTTCGCTTCTAGGAGGCCACAGGCGAACCCTACCCCACCACCCCACGATTTCTAAGGGGGAGGTGGGGTTCACTTGGCGATTTGCGAAGAGGCTTTTCCCTGGACGTCACCAGCATAAGCATAAACTTTTGGCGGTCCGCGCAGAATGGATTCTTGGATCGGCACTGGGCCAGCCTGGCGGAGTCGCCGTCCCTGGCGAACTTGCCGCGCCAAGAAATCCGTTCGGACAGTCGAAATTTCATGTTTATGTCGCTTTTCGTTTCTCGATGTACGGCCCTCGAGACACCAGACCTCCAGCGTGAAAGTTTCAATCCTGAGGTCTTCCGCCGTTCTCGGGACCGTGGAGAAACGACCCGTGCTGAAACACAGGCCTCGGAGGGCCTAGGAGAAAGGGTCGGGGTTTCCAGGGACCCCGTGTCAAAGTAATCAGTACATCGGACCTCTTGGTCGCAAACTGTTTCGGTTCTCGAGGAGGTGTTGCGGCCGCCACCCCCGCCTCCTCTTGTGCTGGGGGACAAAGCAAGAGCCTTGCAGCGTAAGGCCCTGGACAAGTCTGCGCGCCGCGATGGGGGCCACCATGGGCCACCGTGTGGGGACTTGGCCTCTCCCACCAGGTGTTCGAAGGATGATCGAAGCCTTGCAGACCGAAGTGTTTCACGACGCACCCCCGCACACGGCTGGAGGCGCTCGGCAGCCTGCGGCCTCCGGGGGTCCTGGGCCGCGGGACACCGCCAACAAAACTCCAGTGGACGGAAAGTTGGTGCGGGACCCCGTTAAAAAGCTGTGCTGACCGAGGAAAGGTATAGCCCCTTTCCAAGGGGTCTATATCTTTCGGGGGTCCCGCTTCGAAGAAGAAACGGCGCGGAAGAGGTGGGTCCAGGGGAGCTCCTGGCTGGAGGTGGTGTTACAGTAGGTTCATGCGGCGGTGGCGCGCCGGCGGCGCTGGCGAAGGCGTTCAAAGTTGAATTCTGCGACGTTGAAGCATCGATAAACACGGTGACGCCACTGGACCCGACGGAATTCAACTTTGAACGATCGGGGCCGCGATCGATTCAACGTTCAACGATCGACGCGGTGTCAGAAACCTTCGCGCGTGCCGACGCCGCGCGAGCCTACCGTATCGACTGTATGTCGCGTGATGATGCGCTGCCTGTCCCGCTCTGCCAGAGGCCTCTCGGGGGACATCCTTGGGGCCTCGCTGGACAGGATGCCCCGTCCCGTTCCGGCCGCAACGTCGGCGTAAGCACGTCCACTCGGGGGCCCCTGACGGGGTGGTGACCACACCGTGTGGTGAGTCGGTGGGGAGTCGGGGTCACCACACGGTTATGGGCTCGGGTTCCTCTCGGGGCCTCCAGGGTCCCAAGACCGTGCGGTGACAGACCGAGCGGTGAGGTCTCTTGGGGTTCCGAGGTCACCG